TTTTTTTTAATGCTTTAAGTCTTTATAATAAGTTGTGTAGCTGAATTGGTCCCCCTCATGGGTCCTCTAGTTACTACTCCTTTTTTTGTTTTGTTTTAGGAAACCATCTGTCACTCTTTCATCAGCCTTTCAAAAGAATATTTCTCTGATGTTTTAAGGCTTCCACTCGGTTTACCCTTACTGACACTGTAAACTGATATTGGGTTGCAATTCACCTGGTCACCTGGCCTATAAAGATGTAAAAAATAATATTTGTTGTATTATACATACATACATACATACATACGTATGTATATATATCTTTATGGCTGGTTAGGTCAGCTCTAGCTTACCACCACGTGTATGGTATATGTTCCAGGGCACATGGTGCAGCCAATGTAAAATTATGAAAACATTAACAAAACAAAAAATCTTTAGAATACATAATAAAGCATGCTATTTGTAAAAGTCCATTTAAATTGAAAATACTTGCAGCTTCAAAAATTACTTACTTACTACTTTCTCCACCTTTTACATGTTTGTTTGTTTGTTTGTTTCAAAATTAATTGAATTAAACAAAATAATATACTAAGATGACAAAAATGAATATTTTAAAAAGTGACGAAATTTGTTTAACAAATTCTTTAAAATAAATTAATTCAAATTACATTTTTGTTTAAAACAGATCATACCTTCTCTTTGATAACACGTGCGTATTAACACACTCCTATAAATTCATTTGCTGAGTAAATTCAGGAACATTTCACGTGGTATAAAATGTAAATATGCTAGTAATAGAGAAAATTTGGACAGTTGGACCAGTATATTTTTGTAGCAGTGTAAAGCCTGAAAAAGTAGTTTTAAGCCCTCTTTCAGATCAAATGTTAAAATATTTTTTTAGGATGTTACTACTTTGAAATGGCTCTGAAAAGAATTTCCATTTCTGATAATCTGATTACTCTGTACTTTTACTTCTTAATCCTCAACATATATTTAAAGCGGTAAACAAATCTGTGCCTGATAAGTAATGGATGACTAACAGTTGATGTATTGATTTTTAAGAAGTAAAAAATGCTCATATTGATGTATCTGCTAATATTCTTACAACAGAAAAAAAGGATGGGGGATTCTTTTTAATTTAAAATTACTACAATACATTTCATAATCCAGTTACATTTAACTTTAATTATTTTCCACAAATGCGACTTTGCTGCATGTGCTGCAGAGAGTGTTGAGAGCCTCGTTTTCTGCGTAATATTCTGTAAAAATTGTTTTTGGCTTCGTCAGTGTATCAGCGAATGTTAGCTATTTGACCATATATCAAAGCTGCAACAGCTAATGTGAAAATAAAAAAGTAACTTGAAGAGACAGGAGAAACACCCTTCAACAGTGTTACACATTTTGATTTTCCATTGTTTGCCCACTAGAGGGCACTCTGCAACTTCCTTACAAAGAACACAACCAGCTGATCCAAGCAAACAAGCTATTTTTAAACTGCACTGTCTTATCTTAGTATTGACTCATAAATATCTACACATAATAAACGTTACAGAAATTTGGTTATACTTTGGTATCACTCTAAAAAATGTCATCCTACTATGAAACTTTCATTCCCACTTTGGACTAAATTGTGATGTTGTTGGTTTTTTTTTAAAATGATTTTTCATTATTTTGTGATATTTTGTAGCCAGATAATTATTATAACAGTTAGTTACTTGCCAGTTATTGCTAATTACATTTTCATTGCAACCATAGAAATGTATCAAATTATAAAACAGATGGAAACAACAACTCTGTCGTAACTTCATTAATATGTTTTAATGAAAGAAATGGTCTAACTGCAAAAAGCCTCATCAGCCAGTTACATGGCCCAGGCAAGCCTATTTGTCTTATTAAGTTAAGTTTATGGCTCGATTTATGCTAGTACAATGAAAGTAAAACTTTATACATGTTTGTGTTGTTATGGAATAAATATAATTAAGAGAGGGACAACTTTGAGTATAAACTAGGTGAGAGGCTGACAGGATGTGGACAGAAAGTGAAACTAGGCAGAGTGCACTGCAGAGTTGTTTTGATCACAACTATGTGTGACTGTGTGCAACGTATAGCAGAACTATATACGCATTTGGCTTGTGATGCTTTAGACCTGTGGATGCTTGCTAGAGTCTGCAGCTCTCCTTTTCCGGAAATGTAGAATAAAGATGATTTTTTGAGCTTTGACCACACTGAATCGGGGTCTTTCTCTGTCGGTGAAAGAATTTAAAAGAACCGAATTTGACAGTGTGTATTTGGCTGCCTTATAGGTGAAGTCATTTTTGACAGAACAGCGGAAGCTGGTGGGCACGTACCGCAGAAACTGACGTATGAGGAAGCAGTGGAAAGAGCAGGTAATCTAATAATTTTTGTTTTTCACTTAGTCATCGTAAATATGAGGAGAAAAGCATATGAAAAATAAGCTTATTTAAGATTTTAGGTATACACTTTATACCTTTAGAGGTGTAAAACCTGGGTGTTTGTGGTTATGACATAAAATTAAGATTTTCAAAGCTATGCAACAAGTCAATCATGAATTGCTTCTCCCCTTTGTTTATTCACTTTGCTCTCAGGTTTTGGTTTGTTCCATTGGCTGCTGCTGGTGGTTTGTGGTTGGGCCAATGCCAGCGATGCTGTGGAGATTCTTTGTGTTTCTTTTCTGCTGCCAACGGCACGCTGTGATCTCCAGCTGAGCTCCTCAGACATGGGCCTGCTGACAGCAAGCATTTTCCTCGGTGAATCATTTAGTCAACCACCTTAAACTCCCCTTCACAGAAAATGAAACAACTGTTTTTTTGGGAAAAGAGCACAGCTGTGAAAAGCAAAACGGAAAAAAGAAAAGCTTTTTTTTAAAGTTGATTGATTTATGTGACGTAACACCACAAGACCTTACACAAGCCAAACACACAAGACATTATTAGCCTCTGCTCTCTGCTTCTTTTGTAACCCTTTCTTATAAAACTGGAGCCATAACTGAATATACGACCATTTTATCAACCTCTGAAAATGTTGAACTATCAATAAAATCACTTTAATGTAATAATTTTATTAAATCCCTTCAATTAAAGCTGAAAATCTGCGCCTAATTCACATGTTGATTGTCAGATTTACAGTCCACTGTATACGGAGCAAAGCTGTCATTGTCCAAATACTTTTTTCCCTGACTGTAACTCAGTGTTTTGGGCAACTGACTGAGCCCACTGATTATACCAAGTTCATCTTTTTTTCCTGTTTTCCAGGAATGATGGTGGGTGGCTACATGTGGGGTTACTTGGCTGACCAGAAGGGGCGTCGCAGGGTTTTGATCATGTCTCTGACAGTCAATGGGCTGTTTGGGGGTCTGGCTAGCTTGGCTCCATGGTTCTGGCTCTTCCTGTTGATGCGGTTCATCAGTGGCATTGGGTAAAAACATGATTTTTAATTCTTTTTTTCTGTACAAGTTTACATTTTGCTAACACACATTCAACTGTTCCCAGGGCCACAATATTAGTGAATAATACCAGTTATACTTCACTTTGCAGACATTGTCACTTGAAGGACTGAATTATGAACTTGTACTCATATCCACTTTTGAGTAGATTTGTTTTCATATGTGATTTGTATACATTGTAATGTTGCTAGTTTAGAATATTATATGTCACTGATTTGTGCAAAGTATGAATATTTGTTGTAAAATGGTTTTATAATGGTGGTAATTCATGAATTTAAGTGATAATTTTAGAATCTATAGGAGACATAGGTGGTGTGGTTTTGACATCAGGCGGTGATGTTAAAAGTTACGATGTGACTTGTATTGCTACAATGCCTAATATTTATTTTGTGGAGGGCATTTTGGGAGAAAAAATCTTAATGACAGAGGGCAGTTTTCATATATACTACAACCAGAAGAGTTGCCTTCTGTTGGCTATTAAAAAAACATTCAAGTTTAGGGCAGTTCCACATTGGGAAGCTGCATCCTTCTTTTAGTTGTTTTAAATGTACCTCTGGTGTCATTAGAGGACAAAAATGCCCCTATTGGGGCACAAAGTTCAGTCAGATTAGTAATTGACTGGTTTGATTTTATTCAGTGTCATCATTTTTGAAATACCCAAATATAGCACAAGACATGCAGCATCCCTCCACGCTGTATTTAAAAACCATCTAAATTGTCTTTGTTAAACAACTAAAACAGCTAAAGAATAAACACCATGCTGTTCTCCTCTGCAGGGTCGGCGGGTCACTTCCTGTCATTTTCTCCTACTTCTCAGAGTTTATGCCCCGGCTGAGGAGAGGTGCGATGATCAGTTGTCTGGCCACCTTTTGGATGGCAGGAAACATCCTGGCTGCAGGTGGGAGCAAGGAGTATTCTCCATATAAAAACTTTATATAACTGTGGTTATGCCCCATTTTAGCATTTTAACCCCCTCCATGTGGGTTTTAGCGAGATGCTATTATATTTGAATGAACGGTGGAGTGTAAGGTATTACCTAATGCTAGCAAGCTTAGTTACCATGTTGCATATGTTGCAATATGCAAGTCCAAAGAGACTGGGTAGTGCTAAACATTGCTATGTAAAAGACCAGAAAATACTCAAGTTTCACTCACCAAAACTGAAGTACAAACGTCTTGAACAGGCTGTACCACTAAACAAGAATTCAATTTAAATGCACCAAAAGGCTCCAAGAGCACAAATACAATCCAGGAGTTCAGTTCAGTAACTCAAAAAGTGAGGCTTAGACAGTGACAACAGCTTCCTGTGTCGTGGCACTTATCAGTGTTCCTTCCTGTTAAAAGGAAGCTTTTCCTCCCTACTGTCGCCAAGTGCTTCCTCATAGTGGGTCTGTAGTAGTTGGTGCGAATTGAATTGAATTCAAAGTGACCACACCCCTAACTGCAGTTTACAGGTGAATGAGTTATAATAAAATTCACTTTTGAGACCACTGTTTTGAAGGCAGAAACTGCAGGCTTAGAAGATTTTAAATTCTATAAAGTTTGAAATTTTAACATGGGAGTTAAGCTAGACTCAAGTTAACTGCAGTTTTTTTTGGTATTTCTTTGTCAGCTTGATTTTCTTTTAAGTTCCTGATGTTGCTTCTTGAGGATTTCAGAAAAAAATAGCACATACTCAGTGGTGTGTGTTACCGGGTTTTTGGTTTTGGTGTTTAAAATTTTGCACAGACTTGCACAAGGTGTTAAACTCAACTTCTCTTAAAATAAACTGTAGTTTGTTTGTTTTTTTTGTGAAATATTGACCATCTGTGTTTGCCTTTGTCTGCAGGTTTGGCCTGGCTGGTGATCCCCAGAACCTGGGTAAAATTTTTTCTGGGAACACTGGACTTCAAGAGCTGGCGGGTGTTTGTGGTGCTGTGCTCCGTTCCCAGCATCTCGTCGGCACTCATTTTCAAGCTGTTCATGCCTGAAAGCCCCAAGTTCCTCATGGAGGTATTGAAAGACCAAAATAATGTTTGTGTTGCTTGGATGCTTTTACTTCTGAGTTGTCTTTAGAATGATTTTTTGTGTTCTGTCTTTTCCAGGCTAACCGTGAGAAAGAAGCAATCCAGGTTTTCAGATTGATGTTTAAGCTGAACATGAAAGGAAAAGAAAAGGCTCTTCCGGTATGAAATAAGTATACTACTATATGTTTAATTTTTGCTGCACATATCTAATAATTTTTTTTAAACAAAAATAAAACCAACTTAAGTCGACAAAAAGCAAAGCCAAAGTGATGCAACTGACAAAGATAAGGTGAAATCAAAGAGAAGTGAAAGCTACCGTGTGTGTTTATATTCCACATGTGGTTTTCTACAGTTTTGTTGAATCAGTAGCAAGCAGTGACTTTTACAGGAAGGTGAGCAGAAACAATGGCCACGCCCTTTCCACCTCCAAACAAAAAAGAGAACAAACATTTCTCCAGTGTTCAACACAACAACAAGAAAACTTGGACCAGATTACAACATGATTTTGTGCTGCATGACTATCCTTTTGTATATGCTGACATCCTTGTACATATTGCTGCAATCTGCATAGACATCTTCACCTGTCTGAACTCCTTCCTGGCTGAAAATTGTGAAATGTTAGTGCTTCTATAGTTATGTTTAAAAAATGTTTAGAATTAGCTGACAATAGCAAGTACTATAATGTACTTTAATGTGTATTTTTAGATCTCACTGGGCAAGCACTGCTTGCCTTGCTTGCCTTTACGAAACATCAGTCATCAGTCAACATTTCCTTCCTTCATGCAATTGTATAAAAGTACTGTAAGTGTAACAACTGTCCTCTGAACCCTTTTGTAGGAATTTGGTTTGAGTACAAGTTCTACCCAAAAAGGTGACAAAGACAAGAGCAGAAGCTTGGGTTCAAGTAAAGAACGTCTTGCAAATATTTTGAAAAAGGTGATGTAATTTGTTATTATTAATAGTTTAACTGATTTTTAGAATGTCTGGTAGTACTGTTTCAAGATTTAGGGTTTTGTTTATTTTAAAAAAGAATGGCTGAAAATGGTAAAATATGAGTATAAGATACTCGATCCTGTAAATTAATTTGACAAATCATTTCAGGTACCCAAAATGTTTTATGAACACAGCTCTGGGCTTTGGAAAGTGCATTTTTTAAATCATTTGGCCTCTATACACCAAGATGTGATTTAAGTGAAGCATTTTTAATTCAAGGGTTTAACAAAAATATTCCATTAACTTTAGGAATTAAAAACACATTTTATATACATCTGGGAATCTCAGTGGGATGAAAGTAACATGGGGGGTGTTTCTAATATTTTAATGAAAATACTTTATAGTCAGTGATTGCTGTTGCTGCTTGTTTGTTGGTATTTGTGCCTTCACTTTTGTCTTCAGTAACTGTAAATTATGCAGTTTTAGGCTAACATCAGGTGGCTGACCTGGCCACTGAAGAATGTCCCATTTATGGCCTTGAGTTCTTGAGCGTAACCTGTGCTTTGCACCTTGTTGTACACCCTCTGTGTTTATGTTAATGACAGCATCCCTTTTTGTACATATGAAAATTATGCCTAACTTCTTGAGAGTGTTCTTGACTTGGTTAGCTGTTGTGTCGTCCTTCACTTGATTTGTTTTCTGTCATTTTTCCCGGCCTTTTGTTCAGTGAATTAACAATACACCAGATTGTTCATTTGGCCACTCGTAAATTTGTGCCATCTTTTCAATAGGTTTATTTTGCTTTGTCTTTTTTTGTCTTTTTTTTAGTCCAGTGATCCCTGCCTTCACTTTCAAAGACCTCTCTTTGGAATTGACATTGAGCGTTACCTTGAACAGTTAGCGGATGGTTTATCTGCTCAATTAGTCACGGAAAAATGAGGGAACAAGCCTTATCTGGCAATAAAACTGCACAGCAGTAAATTGTTCAATTGCTTTATGCATCTGAAAACGAGGGACTTTGTATAAAAATGGCTTAATTCCTAAACAGTTAATATAACACTTCTGTGAACCCCTTGAATTAAGGTGGAAATGTTGACTTCAGTCAAGTTGTGATTATTTGGTTAATAGTATCCACTTGGACCAAACTGTATTTATAACAAAAAGGAAAAGAGCTTTTGTTTGTTAAGCTATTGAGTAAATGTGAAAACACTGACAGTGCATGAGCAGTTTAGGCATTTCCTTTGTTTTTTGTTGGTTTACTTATGAATAATTTTCTTGTTAACTTGCAGGCTTTGGCTCCCATTAAAAAGATATTTCAGAGCCCTTTCAGATCCAGGAGTATCCCTCTTCTCATCATTTTCTACTCAATATCTTTTGGGTAAGAAATGGGCACCTATACATTCAGGCTTTGCTTCAGCTCTGTTCACACTGTTCAGCTGCTGGGGGATTGTATTAGACTTATAAAAATAATACTACTAATGTGAGATAACCATTTGATATGCATCACATCAAGTGATAGGGAACAATTAAATGGCAAACTCATATTTGCACGTTCTACTGTGGTTTTCTTATTTCTTCTTTTTTTACATTTTAAAACTTTCACACTTCACCCTTTATTCTAAATCAAAAGTTAAAATCTTTCGTGTGTGTGTGTGTGTGTGTGTGTGTGTAGTTACTACGGGCTGTGGATGTGGTTTCCTGAGCTGTTTGAGAGAACCGAAGACGGCGGCTCGCCCTGCGCAAATGTGTCCCGCCCGTCTGTAGCGGCCAATGAAACCTGTGACACGGTCAAGACAGCAGGTGTGTTTCAGAGGATTCATGCTCATATTAGTGTTTTCATCCAGGCATCGCTGCTCACGGAGGCCAAGAAATCAGCTTTAACATTGACAGGAGTCAGTTTTTACAATACTTGGAAAGGAAGAGAAAAGCAAATATTTGAAACTTGCAACAAGTGCAGGACACTTCTGCTTTACTCTTTAACCTGCTTTAATGTGACTTCCTAACAAGCTTAAAGCACCAGCTGACACTGGACTCACTCAGGAAATTTCAGGAAATAACTATTAATGTGTTGTGTTTTATTTGTTTTTTCTGGTCCATCCATATCTCGCCACATGCCTTTCTCCTGTCCACACTCGTCTTCCTGTATTTGTCTGTTACCTCGCAGTATATACGGATGGCTTCATCACAGCTGCAGCAAACCTGCCGGGTAACATCTTCACTATTCTTGTGATGGACAGCACCGGAGGAAAGGCTCTGCTTTGTGAGTTTTTTTTTTTTCTTTCACAAATCAATCTGTTTTCATTTCTTAACACTCTCCCATACATGTTGCATATAATCATAGGTTGTGTATAAAAAAAAAAAATTAAAGATCATAGCAGAGCCAATCCAGGAGAGCCATTCCACTTCACAGTAACCCACAGAAATTGTGGCCACAGCAAGTGGTGCTCAAGAAACAGTCCATGGAGTGAATGGAGCTACACAGCTAAAATAATTGACATCTTGCTAGATGTTATTTAAGTTTTTGCAAATTTAATGCCAATCATATATCTAAGGCAAAATAGAGTAACACATGTATTTTTTTAATTTTATTTTTAGATGAATGGATTAAAGATACTCCAGAAACAACTGAGAGGTCCAGTCCATGAATTAAGCTGTCATTAAAACACCCATAATCATGCTTAATAGAATAAAAAAACGTTTATAGGAAATTCTATTTTCGTAACAGTCTGTTCTGCTGTAACGTTGTAACATAGAAGTCAGAGAGAATTGACTCGCGTTTGGAGCCAACCTCCAGTGGACATTCAGCTTTATTTTTCCGGCTTGTTTCTTGTAAATAATTTATTCTCTGAATTTGTCAGTGAGTTGACCCTTGATAGCATAAAATTTGTCCTTTTAGAGTTCGTCACTGCATATCACTGTCGTTAACACAACCCATTCATAGTTAAGCAAACGCTCCATCTTCATCTTCAAAAGCTTCGAGTCACAATTAAAGAAGCTCTCACACTACAAACAAATGTAGAAAATCAGAAAACCGAGCTGCTACAGAACACCCACCTTTAAGTCAGTGTTTAACAAAAAAATCATACATTTCTTCATCTTTGTTACTTTCTCCAGCCGGCAGCCTGTTGTTGTCCAGTCTGAGTGTCTTCTTCATCTATGTGGTTCAGACCAAAGCTCAGAGTCTGATCCTGTCCTGCATCTTCAGCGGGGTGTCCGTGATCGCCTGGAATGCGCTGGATGTCGTAGGAACTGAGCTCTACCCGACAAAGCTACGGTAACTCGAAACTCAGATTCAGCCATGTATAGAAATGTAAATCAAACTAAGATTTCTTTTTTTGTATTTTTTTTTTTAAATTGATTCACTCATCCATCGAGGTGTTTTATTCTAACTCAGAGAGGTCACATGCACATATACTGAATCTCTTTTCTTTCCATTTTTCTCTCAGGTCCTCTGCTCTTGGTTTCTTCACAGGCGTGGGCCGAGTGGCAGCGATCATGGGTAACTTGGTCTTTGGAAGGTTGGTGGATGCAAACTGTGCTGTCCCCATCCTGCTGGTGTCAGCCCTGCTGCTCACTGGAGGACTGGTGGGTCTTCTACTTCCACAAACCAGGCAGACAGAACTCACATGAACACTCGCGTTGTTTTAAATGGATTCCTCTTAACATCCTCACAGATGGGTAGAACGACTTGAAGCTCTGTAATCTCTGTATTTCCTGGTTGAATCCTGTGCCTTCTGTCATCTTTTTCTATGGTGCCTAATTTAAAAATTCCACTGCTAAAACAAATTGCTAAACAACAGTTGGCTCTCTCTGCCTTCCAAGAATTACTGCGTTGGAAAGCTGAGAAAGAAGTGCCAGTGTGTTATTAAAATCCTGGACACCTGTAAAAAGTTTATGTAAATGACAAAACCCTATATTCAAAGTGAGAAAATGGGGCCTTATTATCTGGTTTTCTGAAGAGTGATGGATCGACTGTAGGTCTTGTGTTTTTGCTTTCCTGTCATGTTTAAGAAACTAGTTTTGTATAGTGAGTACACTGTTCTCATAAAGGGCTGAACGTGGACAGCAGCAATACTCAGGTAGGCTCTGTCATATAAATGATGGTACTAAGGGGCCCAAAGTGTGCCAAGAAAATATCCCTCACATGTTTACACCATCACCACCATCCCAAACTGTTGATACAAGGCAGGATGGATCCATGCTTTCATGTCGTTTACACGAAATTCTGACCCTACCAGCCAGATGTTGCAGCAGATATTGAGACTCATTAGGCCAGCCAACACTTCTGTTTTCTAATTTTGATGTCTTATCCAACAGGAAAATCAATTAAAACAGCTGTCTGTCCAAATGCTCAGTTTGAACTTAAGTAGGTCGTCTTGACCGTGTCTACACGCCGAAATGCACTCAGGTGGTGTCATGTGATTGGCTGATTAGATATTTGCCTTAATAGCAGTTAACCAAGCGTACTCAATAATGGGGACAGTGAATGTATATTATGTCACAGTGGAGGATGCTCAAATTTAGTCTTATGCCTTGTCCCTAATAGGACCTACTCAGGGACATGGCTCTGGCTTTGAGCACACAAACCCTCACTCAGGCTGCATTCAAATCTTCTGGATGTGAGGCTCAGCCAATCCGAGAAGGCTGACTTAAAGTAGCTGCAGTTTTTTGTCATGTCTCTTTTGAATTGTGAAAAAACAAGGCCAAGTGTAAGATAAGTGCTATTAGTTTTTGTTTTTTTAAATCATTTTTAACTGTGAGTCATGCTAAGCTGTATTAGTGCAATCTAAGAATAAAACCGTGCAGCTAGAAAAAAAAGTGTTTTAATAAGTTGCCTTCAAATATATGTCTGAATAAATGGCCTTGTATGATGTTTTTGGAGGTTCATGACCTGCATAGGTGGTGTAATCAGCCAAAGTATCATAGCAAATGGGTTCCAAAACGTCTATACTTATGCACAGAATAGATTTTAGTAGGTTCAGTCTGATATTTTCCAGCACAAACTGGATCAGGCAAGTTTAGTTCAGTTTGAGTGGAAAACCAAAGATTTCAGAGTGCAGTGATGGGAAAGGACCAAATCATTTACAGACTACCTTATTATCTTCCTGAGAGACTACATCCATGATCCTATCAGGGATTTTGTAAAAATTTAAAGCAGATTTACAATTATTTTGTAATGCCTTAATCAGGGTTTTAAATAAATGCAGCTTTTTCTTCATCTCACATGTGTGTTTTTGCTGTTTTGTTGTATCAAATAAAAAACAAGAAAGACTTCCCACATCCTTCCTACGTCTCTTTACCATGACGTCGATGAACAACTTCATGAGGTCAAGGAAAGGTGTGAAGGAAAGTTTTTAAGGTCTTAGGAAAAGAGAAGCAGTCATGCTACTAATGTGTTGCTAGCTAACCTCATTATTTACAAAATGTTCATCCAGCTGTTTCTCTTTAATACCACTTTGTTTACCAGCTTTTTGTTACTTTTAACTTTCGCGCTGAAATTTAGTAATTAAGAAATTGTGCTCCAGGGTTTTAAATGTCACTACAAAGATGCCGAACAGATGGACGAGTTTGATTTCAGCAAATACAGCAGGCTTTTTACAACTTCTGTTTTACTTCCTTATTCAAACTGCCAGTCTTACTTCCTTCAGTTAAGGCAGCTGTCTGTGGTCGATTTGACTAAAGACCATAAAAAAGTAGACACACGCAACACCATATCTGTACTTTTATTTGTATAACTATACTTGTAATACCTCAGGACCACATTTCACAACCACACACGGGTATGAGGAACTGTACTTTGGATATTTTGAAAGCAGATGAAACATATGGCCCTACGTATGATTTGGAGAATAGAGTTCACTCTTTTCTGTATTTTTACTTTTGAAAGTAGACTTTCTTATTGTTTACTTTCATCATCATGGCTGCTGGAGCGAACGGGCAAATAACAGACAATGCGAGGAGTACGTTAAAGGCCAAAATAAAGTCCTTTCACTACTCCTGTAGCTTTGGAAGATTACAGTTACAGTTTCCAACAGTAAAAAGAAGTGCACAGATACTGCTAGAATTAAGAAACATGCGTCTGCAGCACAGATGAGGATATTAAAAGGAAAAAAAGGGGCATCAAATGTAATTAGCCACGAAACCAGCCTGACCACTGAGATGAAAAGCAACACTTAACTTGAAAATCACGCACATTATCTTCAGCACATACTCAAACATAATCTAAATGTTTCTTTACTAAATCAACTTTATGGAAAGCTGAATGGGTTGAGTTTTGTTTTTGTGAATATTTCACTTCAAAGCTTCATTGTGTTATTTACTAGTAAATATAGGCTGAGTTTTCTGAAAATAGAAATCTAAATGAATGCATTGATATTTTTGACAAATATTTATCTTTGCTGTATTGCCAAAAATCAGTTAAGTCTCATTTGGGAAAGCTAACTCTATAGCTACAGATAGCAACCCATTAGCTTGACACAAAACACGAGAACTGCTAGCTTTGCCTTCTCGGAAGTTAATAAAAATTAGAAAAATATGCTACAGCTCTATGGTCAATATATTACTTCCTTTATGCACATAAACAAACTGAAGACACAACTACCACCTCATTAAATGTAGAATGACTTACAGTAAATGCTTGTCTACAAGACTCAGTTGAGAATTTAGTGGGCAAAAATCCTATTTTTTTACAGTCCCGATTCACTTATACGAGAATATCACCAGCAGATAAATCATTTATCCAAATGATCATTAGGAAAATAATTTGCTGATATTCGTTAAGTATTTTTGTTGGCGTTGGGGTTAAACGCTGGGTTTAATTCACAGCAATCAGAGAAAAGCAACCAAAAAAACATTTCTGTATAATCAGCATGAGGATTTTTGTGATTTTAATGTGCTTCATGATGATGTCAAGTCAAGTGTTACAGTTTTTAATCAAAAGCGCTACTTCTTATTGTTAGGCTGATACTCACTCACACACAGACACACACCACACCTTACAGTAGTACTGCATTGCATGTTGCAATAAAACAGCATGTATACATTTCAGCTTTTATCAATGCCCCACTTGCTGTGATGAACATGTGCACTTTGACAGCTAACCACATGCTAAAAATCACCAAATTATGAGATAAAACTCTGGGGAATTGTTCATTAATATTATACCAAAATCACATAGTTGAGGTTGAATGGTAGCCGTCTTAGATCAGCTATCTTCTTGTATCTTGTAATGATTTCAAATAACTGTGACAGTGCCACCTGATTTGAGGGAATATGATAGTCTTTTACCCACTCCGTCTATCTCAGAGTATCTCGCCATCTTAAAGCAGTTTGATAGCCCCTCAAACCAGTTGCAGCAGATGGATGCCCATCCAGAGGAAAAGGGAGTTTTTGTTGCTCACAGGGGGCATCTGATTGTTGGGATTTACTCTATATTGTTGTAAGATTTTTATCTTTTTTTGTGAATTGTAGCTATATAAATAAAATGAACTGAACTGAAAGTTGTTTCATCTTCATGTTAACACCATAGAAAGACCTCCTTTAGTTCCGACGAAAACCTGTGGAGGTCCAGTCTTTCCCCAGCGTATGATGTTGCTCATTTGTCATAGAGATGGTTTAGTCATTACCTGATATACATAAAGTTGGAATAAAAGCAAAAAGTATATAAAACCAGCAGTCGCAATGTAGATGGGATTATTTCAGTTTCCTACACTTGGATTAAATCTAGCCTGAGATTTAAAAGAAAAAAAATCAAGGGAGCTCGTGAGTGAGCGACGTTTATGGTGTAGGACCACTTTATTGGGAAAATAAAGTGTCCTGATCGCCAAGAGTCACATATTCTTACTGCACAGTGTTAATAGCCTGAACCTAGTGAACATCTTACTGCACATGTTTTTGTTTATTTTTTGCTCACCTAATCTTTGTAAAGCCTGACTACAGCATTAACAGAAGGCGGATGAGTCCAGTTACTACTACTGATTGAAGATTCTTCTGGATTTTTTTAAAAGATGTGTCCTACTTCAGATTTTATTATGTACCAGGTGAGAGCACAGAAAAATCTAGCATCACAAATTGGATTTGAATATCACGGATGACTTAGTCGTCGCTGTAGCTGATTTTGATTTCACAAATGATGAAAAATGCAGTTTATTCAGTCTTTGTCGATGACAACTGAGCAACTGCCTCCACTGAGGAAGATCACAGGCTGTGGCTGAACGTTTCAGAGCCACTGTTTTTTTTCAAAGTCAAGAATAAACCTGCAGCCTCGATTAATGTTTATCCAGGAAACAAATTCTGACATTAACTTTATACTAAAGAAAAAAAGGTTTAGATTAAGTAAATGTGAGTCCAGTAAGTCCAATTAGCTCCTCAAGGAAAGAAAAAAAAACCCCAAAACGTTCGGAAATTAGTATTTTTGGAAAGCAAGTAAAAACATTCAGGTTCAGTTTTAATTGTCAGGTCCAGGTGTGGCATTCACTGTCTCTGGGAGTCATTTCTAAAGGTTTGGGGCTCTTCTAACAAAACAAATGTTGTGGAAGCTTCCTCACTGACACGGCTCGCAGGAGATGCTACACTGACAAGTCTTAGATGATATGTGAGGGATGGCTGAAGTACAGGTGGAGGCGGAGTTCAAAGCTGGAGAGCTGGTTCGCGTCACTGCGTTAGAGCCTGGAGGATGTCTTTCACCAGCATCGTGCCGATCACCATTTTCTCACAGTTGACCGTCAGCTGGGCGGCTCCTTCCTCTTTGGTTGCCACGGTGACCAGCACCAAGCTGCCACTGGTCACCGTCCTGCCTGCAAACCTGTGGACAGGATAATCAGGAGGAGGAACAGGAGGACTGAGGTCAAGGCAGCAAAGATCAAGAAGTAAAGATGAAGCCAAAGAACAAAGAAGGGATACACATCGCGTGAGTCAGTGAGACAAAAATATCATCTGTGAAACACAACGAGTGCAAAATTAGTGCAAAAAAAATGTTTTTGGTTTTCTTTTCTAGAAATTTTCTAGAATACCCTGATCAACATTCTCAGAACTGCATCAGATCCGACTTCAAGTCAGCTGATTGTGAATATATGTGTAACTCTTTCCCCCCCTAAAAGCTTGAACAGCTGATGCTGTATCAGGTTTGTACAGATGATGTAGTGGTTCCTGAATGTCACAGTCACAGGCTTTTGTCATGTATTTCTTGTGTTTTGTGTCTGTGTTAGATTTGTTGGTTTTGTTACTTTCTTCTGCTTTCTGCGTTTCCTGGTGTCTGTCATCATGTTTAACGTCCACACAGGAAGCAACGTTTTTCTAGTGTTTCCTTCTATTATTGTAGATCTTTACCTTACAATATAAAGCACCTTGATGCAACTGTTGTTATAATTTGATGGTATATAAATAAAACCGGACTGAACTTAAACTAAAAACAGTCCAACTACTTATGACCTTAAGATTTTCAGATTTCCTCTCACTCAAGCACACATTGTAATTTAAATAGGACTAAATGTTATTAGTTCTGTGATGTAGATAATGTCGTTGTGGTCATAAATGCTAATCCCCTTATATCTTGGATTTTTGAGACCAGATGTCACAAAGGAGAAGTGGATCTGATGGAGAAATAAAAAACACAGCCTACTTATTGTCATGTCAAGGTAGATCCTCCTGACAGCATTTGCTTCTTTATCATTTATTTTACTCAAG